AAATAATAAGCAATAAAAATATAAATTATATAATACACTGTTTATTATTTGAAATATTCTTACTTTTAAACAATAGTATGCCAAAATAATCAAAACATAGTTTAGACTTGATAAATAAATTTGAAGTCTTAAATACATTTAAAACTAATAGAAATAAATACGAAATGAGAATTAAAAACCAAATATGATCAGGGAAAATACGGAATATTCTCAATGTATCCGTTGATACTCGCGGTGTTTCCGGTGAATATAATATTGATGAAAATTTGCTGATTTCTATTTGAGGGAAGTCTAGCAACTCATACCTGTCCCAATCGAGCACATACATATTCATATACATATCTATTAACTGTAAATTGGTAATGGATTAATATTAAGTAAGCTAATATTTTAAAATCTAATTAATTTAGAAAATAGATTACATTTTTCTCAAAATAAGCCAACCCTCCTGTCCAAACACCTTTAGATTGATAGGCTCCACTTAGCTTATAATCTAGTAATCGCAAGTTATAGCTGGTTGCAAAATTAAAAATTATGCTTACTAACCTTTCATTGTATAGATTATAGTTATAAATACTAAAAACTAACCTTATATTTAAATAATTTTCAATAATTTGCAAAATAAATGCCAAGTGATGACAAAATGTACACGTGGTCCCATTGATTACAGTATACTGTTTTACAAATATGCTTATAAGTATCAACTGATACAATTGATAATTATTTTGATCTAACCTTTTTGGATACACCAATAACTAATTGCGAGTTACTGGAACTTTCATTATAATTTATTAAAATTTGATTTAGCTTATGTGTTGTACAAAAATATGACATATTTATTAGTTAATTATTACTTTGGTTATTATTAGTTTTGTGGACCAGCTGTCGATGATTATGACACTCCAGTTATACTATACTTCAATTGCAGCATAGTATTCAAACTGGGCAATTCTGTGAATGATTTAAATTGCACATTAACCTTTGTGTACTCCATGATTGCTAATTAAACGAATAAAACATTGATGTAAAATTTTTGACTTTCAAAATTAATTTATAATTACATTTATCATAATCCTATATTCATAGCTAGTTTTAACCACAAGAATATTCACATCTCTATCCATGAGTTCATCCATACTTTCACTGATATCCTCTTTGGTGGGTATAATCATAGATTGACTGTCATTATTGAACAGATTTATTACAATAATTACAATAAACGATACGAATAACCAAATGGATAGCAAATGTTTTGAGTGATAACTCCTTATTATTAAACATAAGAAATATAATAATAATATTGTATTCATATTTTTATAATAAAGTTAATAAATGAAACAATAATATAAATTCCTTCTTAATTAATAAAGCATCACTTACCAACTATTTACATATAATTTATATGATATAACCGAATAAATTATTTTATATAGAATATTCAGTACTAAATGAAATAGATTTTTACTTGTTTACGGAATATTCTACTTTACTTTCAATATTCTATTATAATTTTTGTTAATATAAAAATAATACAAAATATATAATTTATTCATTTTGTTCAAATATTCTATTGTAATAATTTTCAATAGTCAAAAGTCGTGTAGGAAAGATCAATAGTCTTAAATCATTTATTATATAAAATGTATGCTATACTAACGTATTCGTTATGTATTCAGTATATAAAATCAATTCTTTATCTTTTTAAAAATGATATAATAAAAACTCATTTATATAATGAAAGTTACGATTTGTATCACAATTTAATTAAGATTCTATTTACAGTAATATTTATATTATAA